TTATACTGAAACAGCGGACATGGCCTACTAAACAGCGAATATGTGCACTAACAGCGGACATGTTGCGCGCGGAATGGGGTAAGAATCTGTGCTGCAAGTGCATCAATAACTGCACCGCACAATGTATTCAAAATGTGTTAAAAAATGTTATACTTAAATCGCGAAAATGTGTACTAACAGCCGAATGTGCGCTCGGATAATGTGTGGGTAAGAATGTGGCGCAATGCAGTATTCTTAATAACAACTATATTCTATTACGGTGCAATATTGACTGCTTCATTATGGTGTGATTAAACCTCGTTCCTAACATCAATGTTTTTAACCTCGTTCCTGACGAAAGTTTATGGAATTCTGGGACGAAGGGGGTGGGGTGGTGGGAGGATATGTCTCCCGGCGACCATCGCTCAGCTTACCCTATGGGACAATATGCGATGTCCCTTATCCAAAAAATCATTCCTAAGGGTATGTCCCTACTTGTGTGCCATGCCAAATGCTATTTATCATCAAACCCATCATTCTGTCGACGAATATTCACCATATCTGTGTACGTACACTAGCGGTGTACGTGTACGCTTCATCAACTGTCCTCATCGCAAGCGGCTTTTAGATGTGTACTGTATCTGGCTTTCTCGCACTTTCGTCGTCGTTGCTGAGGAAATCATATTAGGCATGGTGACCGGGAGCGTCCTTGCCCGCCACAGCAAGTACTAGAGGCCGCACAACGCTACCCGCCAAGAATCGGGTGGGGGCCTATTGTCCTAAATTACCTCCGCAAGGTGTTAGCAGGAGGTTATGTTTTCACCCGCGTGCTGTTTTGTTAGATTGTGTTGTTAGGTTTGTCGGTTGTACAGCCTAACTAAAAAAGTTCATGAACGGTGATTGTCAGAAATTTTCAGGATAGGTCAGAAATGGGTAACTTCAGCTGATTACATTTTGGTTGGTGATTGCCGGATCCGTTAATTAATTAATTAATACATTTTGCAGGATAGGTCAGAAATGGGGTAAGTTAGATTGATTACTTTTCGTGCGTGATCCGGGATCCATTAATTATTTACTTTAATTAAATTAATAACAATTACTCACGTGACAACAATGAGCAGCAGTGGCGGAGGTCTTGTGACTCTCCTAAGCTGCTCTAGTTGACTGATGGCTTTTGCTGCTAATTGCGCCGCTGCGTTGACGGTCATTTGCGCTTTACGTGAAGAACGTGTAAGTTAACATACTTGCATAAAACAATTGCATGTTAAATTAAATAATTGTTAAAGGGTCGGTGCTGGCTCATGTATTTGTGTTTTATGCTGTGACACAATGTGAATATGTAGACTTAATTGGAATCGGGCCCTAGGCCCGTGAAGATAGCATCAGCTAATAAATCGTAACCTGCAGTCGGGAACTACCAACTACTATTCTCATACTTCCATGTATTCATCTTAATATCTTTTTAACTTCGATACTTTTTGGCCGACGCCTAATCTTTCTTCCGATATGAAATGCGTATACTATTTAGTTCGAAACGAGTTTCCAATTATAGAGTCCGCTGAAGCGGCATATTCGGCGTAAACCAACAGTTCACTATCTGTGTAGCAGACGTTGAAGCTACTTAACGAGGCTAGCCGTGCGTGCTGCCTCTGCTGATAATTGCCGATGAAACTAGGCAGGTGTGACGTGTTGCTGCGTCGGTGCCGTGGCGTCTTATCCTCTTCTGCCTAATATAGGAACTTTTCGTTTTCCGGAGCTGTTTTTACCGCTCACCTTGACATAGCGTAAGCTGAGCTTTGCCATGGGTCCGTCGTCTGTGTTACGTCGCCGTCCGTTCCGTCTAACATTTTGGCTCGGTCAATGATACACTCAGGAACCGTTTGACCCATCATGTTTGAAATTGGGGGTATTAGTTGTCTACTGCTATGCTCCCATATGTAAACTTTCCTATTTTGGGGCACGCCAGTCGACAGTACTTTCGAGCCACGGCAATATTTTTGCGCAAAAATGGGAATTGACCATTAGTTCAGTCAGGGGTTCACGGATTTTGCTCATTTTGTAGTGAATGACATAATGGGCTAGGGCACGGTTTTGATATTTTAAAGCATTATTTCGACGCATCGTTATGCAATTTTAAGTACGAATGTACAGGTAATTTGGCACCTTGTGTTAGTTAATAAGTACATTACTATATAAGCCAAACGCGTATTAGTTTGTGCCATACACTGCTGACGTTACTACAGAAATGCTGCTTAATTGAAATCCCGCAGTCCAGGAAATCGCGTTGTTTGACAGCTACAAACCGCCATGCCGGGTCTGGCTAACCGGCCTCAGAACTGCAGCGAGCGGTGTATTACATGATTATAGGTGCACCGCGACAGTTTTCGGCCCGTATGGCTCGGGCCGTCCAGTGTATTTCGATCCTTGTAGTCTGGTGCGCAATCGTACGTTATGGTTTTACTCTTGGGGATTCGGGAATAACATGATATACGGTTCTTGAGATTTACAAGCAAACATATCATATGTGGGCAACTATGCAAATAATAACACTAGGCAAACATTATACCCGGAACAACAATTCCGCATGACTCAACATCCGTTAGCACATCGCTGCGTCCCCGAAGAACTTCCGATGTTTATTTTAGTTGCCCTAAATTCGCGTTGTCGCCAGATTACCAAATTTACGGATTTCATATTAGACATTTTCTACTCGATTAGCGTGATATGGACAAACTAATACGCGTTTGGTCTATAAGCGTATGTTACTTTTTAACTACACAAGTGCCAGTTACTGTTAGCATTCGTCAACTTTGCATAATCGATGGTCGTATTATGCCTTTAAAAGAAATTTTGCAAATCTAGGTAGGCGTTCGGCAATTATTATATAGACACGCAGATAACAACAGTCTGTGGTGTCGCACACTCGTCTTGGTCGTTTACAAGATTTCCATGACAATATCTTAATTTGCCGATATATTAATTGCAAAATTCCCTGCCTAGTGAACATATTATTATTTTACTATTTATTAGTTCTTATTATTATGATATAATGATTATATGTAAGAGAAACATTAAAGCGGGTATTCCGCACTCTTCCGTCACAAATTGTGATTCATTTTGCGTTTATATTATTTATAATTTATAGAATATATATATTATTTATTATTTTCACATAAAATTTACACATATAATTATCAAGGGGGGGGGAGTATATTAATGGGAGTTCTCCCATATATCCTCTTCGTTTCTATAATGTACCGTCGATGTTGCTCATTAAAACTGACTTCTTCTCACTCACTCATTTGTCGTCCTTTTTTTGTGGTGAGCTACAGGTGTCATTGACACTTCTTCTTCTAGCCATTGTTGACGTGTTCAATCTTTTGGCGTAATGTAGTTACACTGCTCGATGTGATTTTATCTTTCTCTTTGGGTAAATGTTTAAACACAACCCGACGAGGCACAATTCTTCTTTGCATTCCCTGTCTATTATTTCTTTCATCGAATTTATCTAAGAGATACAATTGATGACTATAAATGCCGTAATTCGATTGTGTTCTCTAATACTGCGAATGGTTGAACGAATTTGCTTTTTGTACAAATCAGTTTCGTCAATTAAAAAAAATTAGAAAACTATACTCGAAGAAAGTTAAGGAGTGTGTAGATCGCAATTTCATCGCATAATACTTGTGTATGTGCACAAGTGAAGATTGAAGTTTTATTTTTTATTAGCTTGCCTTGAATCGTGCAGCATGAGCTATTGCATGCGGTGTCGTCCGTTTACGATCGTTCATCGTTTGATCCGTCGTGTCAACATTTGGCTATGGTCAACGATAACTCGGGAACCGGGGTTTAGACCCACATGTTTCAAATTGCATATAGTGTTACTCCTTATGGGAGAGGTCTTGAACGTTCCTATTTTGGACACGCCTACATTTGACCTACTATCGAGACACCGCGCCCTTTTTGGCAAAAATGGAAATGGCCATACAGTCAGGTTCAGGTCAACCGGATTTTGCCTCATTTTTTCATCAAAGTATGTGAATGAATAAGACTGCGCCCAAAAACATATCACACGTGTTTGATATCCTTTTTTTAAAATTAGTGCAAACTTAGGTAGAATTTGGCAAACTCCACCTATGCAATTTCAGTGTCTGCCTATGACGTCAACGGTAACTCAAGAACCACGTCACCCATCTCTCGGTCAGATTTCAGACTTTCAGATCTGAAACATTTTATTTTCGCCATTTCAAACCTTATGACAATAGTATTCACTTCTCAGAGTATATAATGGGGAGATATTGCCTATATTAATGCGGAGTTTCTATCCATATGTATACTCTTGCTTTATATAGACTCCATCCCTCTTCTTCACACCCAAGGTGAGGGTACAGTGTCATTGCACCCTTTCATTATAAATGCTTTCTACGTTGCATGTAAGGAAGTTTATTTCAAAAATATATAAAGGGTCAGTCGGATCACAAAAAAAAACTCACAATAATTTTTACATTTTATTTTACGTGTCTAAAACATGAAAAATCAATTTACTTTCTTTTTGGTCGGCAATCGGACTAATCATACTCTGCTCTGCGCACGAAATTGTTTAATGTGTGAACTGGACAGTAGACGTGTGCCGACAGGCGTTAACTCTAGACCACTCGCTGCTGCCGAAAGGCAATTCATGAAGAAATCGGCCGCCGAGCCGACAGTCTATCTAGCATAAATTTCGATCCGTGCAGTTGGTTATATGCGGAGCCAGTGTAAGCTGGAATGTGTCATCGTGCACATGTGAACGAACATTATACGCTGCGCGCGCGGCTACAAGCATGGTGTTCGCGAACATACGCCTCAGCATTCGGTTTCTCTACAGCGATCCGCTATTTTTTATTATCTGTTTTGTCAAAAAATACGACTACCGCGTAACCTGTCTCCTCCATCCCGCGGTTCATTCTCTGGCAGCCGATAGCATTTTTATTAATCTGTGTCAAACAATGTACGTTAGAACGCTAACCCTGTCTCCTCGCATCGGTTCATTTCTCTTGGCCAGAGATAGCAATATTTTATTAATTGTGCTCATCAAAAAGTACGACCACAGTAACCTGTCTTCTCCATCAGCGTTCATTTTGACACAGATAATAAAAATTGCTATCGCTGCAGAGGACAAAGTACATATAGAATGATAACCTCTCCGCCCCCTCCTCTTCCTTCCTCCGCGCTCATTTTGCTGTTTTTTGTGTTCTCGCCCCGCAGAGAAGTGTCAAAAGCTGTTGCTACCTCGCGAAGTCTCTACGCACGCTGGTGTGAACTCGTACACGATCCCGATGCCGTTTCCAAGGAGGAGGTTGACTGGACTACGAACGAACTACGAAATAGCATACGAAGCATTGAGTGGGACCTAGAGGATCTGGATGAGACGATAGGTGAGCGCCCATAAGACGCAACCCTGTGTGTAATTGACCGTGGTTTACTTTTGCCGAAAAGAAAAGGTCGAGGAGGTAGGCCGTGGACTGTATTTAGCGCCGAGGTGGTAATGAGACGTTGCGAGTAGAACTCATTGCTGCGGGGACTTGATCGATGAAGCCGTATTAATTTTTAATTTTGCGCCGGTTAATAAATTATGTAAAATTAAAATGCACGTTGAAAGCTCGAATTTTTGGTAAGTGTGGAAGACGAGTGTGTTTGTGTGCGTACGTGCGTGCGTGGTGTCCGTGCGTTCGTGTATGTATGCGTGCGTATATGCACGTGTACGTATGCACGCAAACTGCTGGATGCGGGCGTGTTTTTCTGTGCGTGCGTACGCGTGTTTGTGTATTTGTGTGGTCGTGCGTACGCGTGTTTGTGTGTTTGTGTGGTCGTGCGTACGACTGTTTGTGTGTTGTGTGTGGTCGTGCGTGCGCGTGTATGTGTGTTTGTGTGGTCGTGCGTACGCGTGTATGTGTGTTTGTGTGGTCGTTCGTACGCGTGTTTGTGTGTTTGTGTGGTCGTGCGTACGCGTGTTTGTGTGGTGGTGTTTGTGTGGTTGTGCGTACGCGTGTATGTGTGTTTGTGTGGTCGCGGCGTACGCGTGTTTGGTGTTTGTGTGGTCGCGGCGTACGCGTGTATGTGTGTTTGTGTGGTCGCGTACGCGTGTTTGTGTTTGTGTGGTCGT